CCCTTATCCTTGGCATGGACATCGGCGCCATTCGCCAGGAGTATTTCGACAATGCCTATGCGATTGTAGCCCGCGGCCAGATGAAGCGGGGTCGAGCGGCGTCCATCGCTCGCATGACAATTGACATTAAGGGGCGTGAGCAGCGCTAGGAGGCGATCCTCGGCGCCGGAGCGTGCCGCCTCGAGCAGCTCATCCTTGCGATATTCGCCGGTCAAGACCGGACGTGTCGCATCATCGGCCAGCTCCAGCGGTGTCTTCTGCTCCGAATTGCGTATGTTATGATTTGCGCCATGCTGCAAAAGTGCCAGGCAGACATCCACTTTGCCCTTGCTGGCCGCCTCGTGCAGCGGCGTATAATTCCAGTTGTCGGTGGTATTCGGGCTGGCGCCGGCCTTCAGCAACAGACGCACCACCTCCGCATGGCCAAAGGAGCAGCAATTGTGCAGCGGATGAAGTCCGCCCTCATCGCAGGCCTGTATCGAGGCGCCGCTGTTCAGCAGAAACTCAACCACCTCACGTCGGCCATAACCTGCAAAAGCAGAGCGCATTATATTAGATCCAATGCTAAACTTGACCAAGCAGCAAGCCCTAAAAGTGGCTCACATGGTTAACTAACTGTTTTTTGCGTTGTCTTTGCATTCGCTGGGCGTTTGCGGAGGAGGGCGGGTTCTTTGAGAGACCTTCGGTTCTAACAGATTTCCGGCAGTTGCCCCCCGCGACAACCACATGCACAGTGGGCTCTAGCAGCCGTCAAGCTTTTGGCCATCATAAATCTTAGTCTAGGTTATTGTTGAGACAACAAAGCAGCAAATAGAATAGCTGATAAAAAAAATAACAAAAAGTGTATCCAAGGCAGAGGTAAAGAAAGCTGTCAACACATAAAACCCCCTCGTGGCATTACTTCAAACACTTCCTATTTGAACTGGGCTAAGACCTCCTCAGTTCTTGACCGACTGGGAAAGTTCAAAGGTTAGCTAAAAAAGCTGCCAGTAAAGCTGACTGAGCTCTAGATATTATGGGGTAATTGTTTGTTTTTATATTAAAATAAGGAATTTATAAATTAATATAGCTTCTATATAAATATTAGTATTAAAATAAATAAAATTTATATTTTGTTTCTATTTTCTAATCAGCCAAAAACTCTGAACTTTTGATCAAATTATTATTTTATTTATCTTATCTTTGTATTCTTATTTTTTAATCCATTAACCTATAAAATGTCCAATCATTAGTCATCAGTCAGACTTAGAATTTTCCCAGATTGAAAAAACCAAGTAAGTTATGCAGATAAGATTTTGAAGAAATTGTTTTTATTTGTATGTTTAATTTTCGTTATCTATACAATAATATTTATGTTCATTTAACTGATTGACGCGTTGACTGATGCTTGATTTTGTGATGTAATCAAATCGAAGACGGTGTCTCCGATTGAAAAACTTTTGTGCAGTTGAAATTTGATAGTTTAAGGCAATCATTAGGGGCATTCACTGTGACAACAGCATTAGGGTGCCATATTACAAGCAAAATACAGCGATAAATGCATTTTCAAGCCAGCAAATAACTAATTTTATAAGCTATTGTGTCTACAAGCCGAAACACATTACGAACAAGAATTTGAAAAATAACTAATCATTTTTAAAAACAAAGTAATATAAAAACAAGATCACAAAAAAGTATAAAAATCTATAACAATTTTAAATTAGAAGAGCATTTAATATTTAAACGGGTTTTATTTGCAAAGTCTTTCCTGAAGTCTTTGCGAAACTTTTCGTTAGCCGCATTCACTTCACTATTTTTTCGCAAAACAATTACGAAAGTTGCGTGGAAAATTAATAGAATGGAAAATATTATTAGCTGTGAGCGGTGTGTTGAGCAATTGAATGTGCAATGGTTGGAATTAATATTATTATTATTATTATTTATATTGAGGTTTCTTTGCATTGTTATAATCATTAACAAAGCGCCTTGAGCAAGCGCATAAAGCCAAAAAGTTTAAGAATAATAAGACAATAATGTTGAAGGTTAATTAGTTAAACAATTGTTAAGTTGGCTAACTAAGAAAAATGAAATATGTTATATATCTCGTATGCTTATAGCCAAAGCTGCTAGGTCTAGCCAAAGACTTATGCGACTTTATCAGCGGATACGTGGCAGCCACAATTATCGAGTTTCTTATCGTCTTTATAAACAAGAAAGCTGTGCAAATAAAAAATGATAACAATGAATCGGATATAAATAAATGAATGTACGCTTATGAGAAATTCTTTGAGAGGGGTGCGTTGGTATGTTATAAAAACGTGTTACAATTTGCAACAGATGCGGCTCGAGGGGTGCAAAGGCTGTGGGCGGGGTGGGGAGGGACAACATTTGCTAGTTCGTTTAGACATTAAACAAGGTGAAAACTCTGTCAATAGCAACTGGAGACCTCTTGGAGATCTCACTTTTTTTTCTTCGGTCTTCAGAACGTGACAAAAGACATGACAACAACAAAATTGGATGGCAAACCAGTTTAGAGAGACAGTCAAAACAGTAAACAGTAAAAAGTAAAATACAAACAACACACAAAAAATGGGGGGAAACAAGCTAAGCATGAATCATAGACAGCTACCACAGAAAAGTATTTAATTATTTTTGTAACGAACTTAAAATGCACTTGCACAAGCATGGAAAATACAGATTTACAATATATAATATATAGTAATGTATTCAGATGCACAGTAAAAACCTTTCCTAGGCTTTTGATCACGTTTAAATATACTAAAACTTTATATAAATAATACATACTATGTTACTTGAACGTCGTACTAACAAGCGGCAGGTCGACGGTTCAAATTCAGTAACAATTCAATTCAATCGCAATTTTCATGTATTTTTTTTTTTATTTGATTTGTTATTAGTTTCATCTAGCATCAACTAAATAACATTAGAAAAATTTATATATTTTTCCAGATTAGAATTCGCAGCTGCTCGATTTTAGATTTTAGACGAAAAATATTATTACTAAAGTAAAAAATTAACGTATTTAAAATAAGTAAAATTTACTTTATTTTATAGCTTTAGAAATTCTATCTTCAATGCGTTACAAACCTCGCACTCAAATAGCAATACACATGGAAAGGGTATATAAAAAAAAGGCACAGCAAAAATTGATATGCAAAGGGCGTGAAACTCACAAGTACCCCTTTCCCCATCCCCAAAACCCCCTCTTAACCAGACAAAAGGTTTTTTTTTTAATTAGTTAAGGAGTTGGGGGCGAGCTGCGTGCGTTTGGGCGTGACAGCCGAGCGCGCCTTTGCGAAGCAACAGAGCAAAAAGTGAAATTTGTTATTTAAGCTGATACGATTTGAGCCCTGAGTTACAAAAAGGCAACTAGACGCTGGATGGCGGGTAGACAAGGCCAATAGAAAAGATGCAAACGACGTCAGCAGGATGCTGACCAGGTCGAACATATACATATATGCATATACATATGTGTGTATATATATACATATATTTTTCTCTTTGGCGAAAATAGAAAACATGTTGGGCCAAATGCAACACATAGTCGTTGCAGGGTCGCCGAGGGTTCCGGAATCGAAACCAAACCAAGCAGAAAAGTAGGTCAACTTTGCGAGCCGACTGTGCCGGGGGGTGCGGTGGGCGGGCGGCAAACCAACTCGCGGCGACCGCGCCAGGCAACAATGACGCTCGTCATAGCGACCAAAACTAGATCAAGGCCAGAAACGCAGCAGTGCCGAGTGCATGCGTGTGCGTGTAAATAGGGGTAGGGGGATGGGGCAGTGTTAAGTAGCAGAAAAAAAGCTATTTCTAGTAGGAAGGGGATAAAAAAGCTAAGTTGCTGTCTTCGCATTTCGTTAACAAGTTGGATTTCCCTTTGGTGGCGTATAAAAGCGAAAAAAAGGCTAGAATACTCGCTGCATTTAAAGGGAAACGGGCGCAACTGGCAGCACTGGTTAGGGGGCTGCTAACCACTGAGTCCTTCAACCTTAATAGGCGACAAGAGACGGCAGCAGAAACAGGGTGCGCGCTGCCGGGGCCCAAAGGATTCCGTTACTCACCCGCTGCAAAATGCAATGGCGTCGATTTGCGTCCCGCTGTGTCGCGCGCATTAACCGTTTGTGGCGTTATCAGCTTCTTCACTTTGGCTATTTCACCTGTTTTGCAGGCCTCAAAAAGCTCACGCAATGGATCGTTGGCCATGACCGTATCGAGATTAACATTTAATATAGCCCGACTGCGACTTGCCATTGTGCTAGTTGTTGTTGTTGTTACTGCTGCTGTTGTTGTTGTTTTTGATGCTGTTGCCTCGCTTCGCGCTGCTCCACTTCTGACTTTTGTTTTGTTTACACGCAGCGTAACTGAGCAGCAGCTGGCCGTCGCGCCCGAAAATAAAACGCGTTATACTCAATATATACACGGCTGCACTGAAAACAGATGCTATATCTGGTTGGCCTAACTCGAGTTCATGTTTATGCAGCTGTGAAACATTCACTGGCCATTTTTTGCTGCTGCTCCACACTCACTCACACAATCACAGACACGCACACAACTAACTGACGATGAGGAAACTCTTGGCCCTGTGGGGAGCAACAATTGTTTGCCTTGGCCCCGCAGGCAGCACTGCGTTTGGCACTTTTTTTTTATTAGTTAATAGCACAAGTGGTATGCACTATAATCAATATAAACTGTGCGAAAGCTCCTTTTCTTTTGTAAGTGCTGCGCTGCTGCTGCGCTAGTTGCAATTGTTTTCGTTCAGCTCGCGATGAGGATTGTTGATATTCTATCGATACACAGTACGCAACTTACTTAATCGATAAGAAAATTGGTATTTATAAATGGTGTGCACACACTGGTTACTCTGCGCAATCGTTTTGGCAAAAATGTTATCGATTACCTATTAGTTAGTTATAAGATTTTGTTTCGATTCTATCAATGATTTTCAGGGTAGTATTTATTGATCTAATCAACAGAGCTTATGTACTTCGTTTAACATTATATATTATTATTAAATTTAATTGCGCGCCGAACTGCAGAAAACGAAAGCAACATATAGTATCCAGCCCTGTTATAAGCCATGGTTTTTTGTCAGTGCAGCCCTGTCACGGGTATCGAGTACAAGTGCATGCCAACAACAATGCGCGCATTGTGCATTTGGTTTTCGCTTTAAAAAAACTAAAAAATTGTACAATTTGCACACGCACATGCAAGAAAAATGACCGAAAAGTGTGTGTGGTCATATAAACAATAATATGCGCAAGAAAACAGCAGTATTAAAAGCCACAAAACAAACAAAAAGTGAATCAGAACACACGCACGCACACACGCAAAGCCCATACTAGCACACACGTACACCTGCAACCCGCGCTCTGGAACCAGAAATAAGTGCAAGTGAAGCAGCAGCAACAGCAGCGACGGCCACAAACAAACAGGCAGCAGAAGCAATTGGGGAAAATAGCTGCAACAAAGCAGAAAGAAAGGGAACAAACGCGACAACTGGAAGCAAAAGTGGAAGTGCAGCTCCACCCCCAATTTGGTGTTGCAGTGCCAGCAGCAGCAGCAGCAACAAAAATAACAGTCGCAGTCTAGCCATGGCGCAGCGTTAGCAACAAAAAACAACAACAATAACGGGGCGCACGCTTCGCTGCCCGCGCGACAGCATTTCAAGCTTCGTCGACGCTGTGCTGCGTTTGGAAATAATTAGAATTCACTTTAGTAGCAATTTTCTGGCAGCAGCAGCAACAATAATAACAACGACAAGCGAATCGATAACATAAAATAATTTATTCATACGTTTTGGCTGTCCAAAATGGAACTAAAAGTTTGGGTTGAGGGCATACAGCGTATTGTGTGCGGCGTAACGGTAAATACCACTTGCCAGGTGCGTAATAACTATATATATTGATTTTAATACCCTCACTAAAGAGTCAAATTATTTTGTCTTGAAAAGTGCATAGATCATAAATATTCGTGATAAATGCTAACAACAAAGTTAATAGAGTCTTCTTAGAAAGGGTATTCAAATTAGGGCAACCCGAAAATCATTTTTAGTTTTATATGTCGCCCGCAACCCTTGTGTAATATCTATTCTTTCTTGCAGGATGTGGTGTTTGCCTTGGCCCATGCCACGGGCAAAGTGGGTCGATTTACGCTAATCGAACGCTGGCGCAATAATGAGCGACATCTCGCGCCAAATGAAAATCCCATGAAGCTGCTGCTTAAATGGGGCGAGTATGCAAATGATGTGCAGTTTATATTGCAGCGATCCGAAAACAAGCAGCAGCCCACACAACAACAACAACAGCAACAACTGCCCAACAACAACTATGCAGTCATGATTACTAAAAAGCCGCTTGGCCCCAGCAACAGCAACAACAACAATAATAATAATGAGAGCAAATTGCCGCCGCCGCCCACATTGCAAAAGCAAAAGTCCAGCGTGGAGCTGGGCTATCGCACAAAAGAGCTGAAAAAAAGTTTTGGGTGCGTAGCAACAAAAGGTCGATGCGAGTGTGACAAAAGTGAAACAGGACTATTCTATAATTGTTCAGAAATAAATAGCACATCTGTGAACATATTAAGTTTATATTTAACTGATCAGTTTTAACAGCCCCGTCAATAATCAAATCAAGCTAGTTGTTCAGTTTTCAAACTTGTTGAAACCTTTCACAGATCCCACTTTCTGATACAGCCAGTATATCCGGATCGTGCTAACAAATCACGTAGGAGCCACAAGAACTAGATAGACTTTTTCTACAACCCGCCGTTTGGCTTTTTATGCTAGCATGTTCAATTTATCAGATACAAGATTTTAATGCTTCTTAACTAAAACTTTACGAAATTAGTCTATGTACCGAAAAGCGACTCAGCAGTTAAACTTTGTTAAGCTCATGTATCGCAAACTAGTTTTTAATAGCCCTCAACTTTAATAATAAAACGTATCTCATTTTTACAGCGGCTATGATGCCAAACAATACGACAACATTGGCATAGTTAAAGGCATACCACAGCAGCAGCAACAACAACAACAACAACATACGCAGCAACAGTTGCCGCCGTCAAGCAAAACGGCCCCGTTACTGCCCAAGCATGAGAAATCGCTCTCGAATCCGTTGGATATGAGTAGCAGTAGCAGCAGCAATGCGCCCGTATTGAATGATTACAGCGATTTATACAACAACAACCACAGCAGCAGCAATGGCAACAGCAACAACAATCCACACATTTACAGTCCGTTGAGCAAATCCAGCAATGAGCTGCGACGCGCTAGTCCGAATGAATATAATAACAACAACAACAATAGCAATAGCAGCAATGAGCATTTATGCGACATTTATGCCAACAGCAACATTAGCAACAATAACAATAACAACAACAACTCATCGGAGCTGTACAAACAGACGCCCACAATTTCATCAAATGGCGCACTGGTGCCGCCACCATATCGTGATCCGCCGCCACCGCGCAATAGTCCCATGTGCCAGACTCAACGCTTGCCGGCCAGCAGCAGCGCTGCTGATACCATATCCAATGCATCCTCCACAACAAATCCATTTCTCAGCGACTACGAGCCACACAACATTAACAACAACAACAATCATGTGAGCAATCAGTGCATGGATGAGGGCGAGAGCATGTTCCAGGCCACGCAATATAATGATCTACTGCAGTTAATCAAGTTTCAACGCGAGAAAATTACCGCACAGCAATTGGAGCTGCAAAAGGTTAGAAACAAACAACTAAAACTTAAAAAAAAAATCAATTAATTATAATTATCCTTGCAGTTTGATACGGAAATTGTTTTTTTGGAAAGCAGAGAACGTGATCATGCGATTGAATTGGAGGTCATATCACGTGAGATATCCAAGGCGGATCAAATTTTTAGGCAAGGTAGCGAACAGCTGCAAACGCTGCAGTATGTAGAGGAGGAGAACGAACTGGTCAAGCAGCAGGAGAAGACACTCAAATCCGAAATTGCTTTGCTACGCTCCAAGCTGGCTAATTGTGAGACAGAGCTTCTGCAGTGCAAGAACAAAATGCGTTTGCTCATGGACGACATTGAGCTGGAGCAGCAGCAACAGAGCAATAGGTGAGCTGGCGAGTTAAATATATATTAAAGCAATCCTTAATAACAAATTCTTTATACAGACAAACTGTGGAGCGTGATTTTCTGATTGAAATGGAGCGCATACAAAGCAACATAGATCAGGCGCTGCATAATACAGACACATCTAACAAAACGGCTGACAATCTCAAAAAGGAGCTGCTTATGATTGAACATGCCATTGCAGAGAAAAAGCGTCAAGTGGAGCAATTGGTCAACGAAATGAAGGAAGTGAATCTGCAAAGCCTTACCGTAACTACCACCGAGGAAATAAAGCATTTGCTCGAGGGACCCAACAAACAGGGCAGCAGTCGCCGCATCATAGGTTCGCCACGACAATTGGAGACGGCCGTGCCCACCAGCAAGAATCCTCACGGCGTTTGGGTCTAAAACCGCGCCACATTTAAAAGTAACAAAATATTTTTCTATACTCAAGTAACTTGGGGAACAAAAGATGAGGAAATGATTTACATATCTTGAATATGTAGAGCACCAATCGTGGTTGCCTCTATATAACAATATTTGCAAAGACACAAATTTACAACGATAAAATCTATGCCTATTTCTTCTTCAGAAAAACAAAAAAAATACCTAATGGATCTCTTCAAGCAATGTTAATTGTTACAAATTTTAGACACAACCCACACAATATTAACTTAGTGCACAACTAGTTGCAAATTTTTTAAGAAATTTCCAAAGTCAACAACATTTCCACAAATATGTATAATTTTTATGCACTTAAACCTTTTGTGCTATAACTATCGATTTTTAACTTAAACTTTTAAATATGCCTAATTATTATAATATATTTTGTTGCTAGTCTATAAAATGTATTTCAATCATTCACCATGCGCCATTAGAAAACGTAAATTGTTGCAATAATTGTATCTAAACGAAAATGTAAAATGCCTTTGTAATGTTACATTTCAGTTGTGCTGTTAGTGATTTATAAACCCATTCCATTATAAATAGATTTATAATTATAATTAAATATGTACTTAGCACTTAGCGCAGCTTTAGCAAAAGAACAAATTAGCAATTGCTTTGTTGTTAACAGTTTCCACTTGGAAAGTGTTTAGAAAACGCTTCACAATAGTCGAAAATTGCAAATTGTGTTAAACAAATAGTACTTAATGCATATTTTGTACCTTTTATTGCAAAATGCATTTCAAATTTTTTTATTATTAGCAATATTTAGTAATTACACAAACGTTTTAGCAAAGCATTTTTGTTGCTTAGGGCTACGTCACAGCAATATACATACTATATGTTTATAAAATATAATATATACTTAAGCATATAAATATTAATTAAACAAAGGACACAAATTTTTAGAACAAATTCAAATTGCATTATAACTATTAGCCAATAAATAATACATTTTTTTATGATTTTATTAGTTGCTCTTTTAAAACTCGCAAAGTGAAAGAAGTTTTTAATGCGACCGGGTAGGGATCTACACCTTAAGAAATCTAAATTTATGCTAAGTTCGTCAATTTATACTGTTATTTAATGTAGTTAAGTATTGTCTCACGATGCGGCTACATTTTGGTGTGACTTCCAACTCTTGCCACAAACTGCTTGCCACAATACGAATGCGCCGCGACGGTCAGCCCAGGCCGAACAGGACACGAAGCAAGGACTTCGCTGCAGCAGCAACATCACCAGCAGCTAAACAAAATCAGCAACAATTGCTCTTGTCTGTTTCAGTTGGCCGCTGTGCATGGACTTGTTTGGTCCTCTGTCTTGTCTCTTGTCAGTGGCACGCGTCTCCGAAAGGCGCGCGCGTTTCTTGCGTGCGTTTTCAAACGCGCTGACAGCGTGCAAAAATTTGCCGCACAATTGAATTTGTCGCCCGGCAGGCCCTCTCGGTTTTCGGCGTCTATCGCGTTGACACAATCTTGAAATGTGCGTTCTTGCTTGGTCAAGAGCATTAAGTGGCCACAGCCAACAAAAAAAAAAAAGAAAAGAATATAGAAAAACCAGCAAATAATAATAAGAAAAGGAAAAGCACAACAGCAAAAAACACGCAAAAACGCAAATAAAAAAAAATGTTACGTTTTTACGACACTTTCCACACCAAATGCTGTTCAATTGCGATGATTGAGATAATGAGGCAACGTTTTGGCATACATTTAGGCCGAATGTCTTTCAACGACGACGACGACCTTTTGCGGAAATTATGATCTGCCTATAGCGCACTTGGCCTTGGGTCCATTGATAAGCCGGCAAACATTTCCATTTTTTTTCTTCTCGTTTCACTTAAATGAATTTAATCAAGCGAGCCAAGTGGGGTGATAAATAAAGAGCATGAATAGACACTAGATAATCCGGGGCATACTTTAAAGACATATTTATTATATTGCACATTTTACAAGAAGGACAGTAAAACCTGTGACATTGTGATTAAGAGCCCCTAGAGATCCAGATTATCTCCTAATCCTCTCGTTGCTGAATAGAGATTTATCTCCATTCAGTCGCTTTTAATTTATATAAATTAATATAATAGATTTTAGACATTTTAAACTCTTTTGTGCTGGCGAAAACTCTTTATCTTCATAATAAAACTAAAACTAAGTGTTTTCTGTGAATTGCAGACTCTTTAACTGCCTGTTGACATATTCATTTATTCTTTTTTCATAGTTTATATTTACCCTTAAACTTGAAAGAATTCCTCATTGCTGAGCATACCAAAAAGTATTTTGCGACTGACAGCAAATAAATTGATAAAAATAATGGAGAAATTTTAGAAATTTTAAAGACAAATGCGGACTCATTTAGTTAATGTCAGCAGCATTAAAAGATTTGTAAAATACAAATTATATCCTTTGCACGATTTTTTTAAATTAACTCTTATTACTTAAATCTTAAAACAGAAAATAAAAAATATATTTCAGTAAAGATTAAGGGTACCTTCATTATATTACAAACCCAGTAAGAGTTGATTGAGAAGTCAGGTATATACTTACAAGTGAGAGTCTAGAAAAACTTAAAAGCTCTTCAAGTGGAAAACAATTGAAGGCAAAATCTATGCAAATCTTTTATGGGCCTCTATTTTTACATTTTACATTAAAATTAGCTCAATGAAGTGTCAAACTGACGTAAAATCTGAGTGAATCCGTGCGTTGTGGGCCATGGCCAAAGCTACGCTGCGTACAAAATATGAACTCCGCCCAGAAACTGCCAATGCAATGGCAGTCAAGTAATTAACCATCCAAAATATTCAAAGCCCACCGTTAAGTATTAGATACATTTGTACAAGATGGTCTATGGACGCAGCATTGCTGTTGGCATCTGCTTTATGACCGTTGTCATTGTGGTCTCGGGTCTGATCTATTTTCTAAGTTTGGGTAAGTAGAAAAGAGAAGATGCATTTATGTATGAGTGATATAACAAAAGAGAAGTTTTACTAGTTTCGATCATAATCGCTTTGTTTTTAAATAAATCCAAGCTAGTCTTCTTTCCTATTAAAAATAAAAATAAAATTTAACGTAAAATTAAAGTTTAAATTGTTTTCTATATAACTTAAACTGAACTCTCGTTTAATTTTGTAAAAATATGATAATGGAGATATTTAAATTTTGTTAGACCATTTTCTTTGCATTTTTCCGTTTTCTTACTTTGTAATCAACATCAACAGAGTCTAAAATATTTCCTAAAATAATATATTATTACATTGCAATAAACAAAAAAACCGCATAACTGACAATTGTGCAAAGTTTTTAAATTACAATATCTGAAATGGGTTGATTGTTTTTCTAAACTTTGTAAAATTCAATTCTGCTTTCAATTATTTCCACAGACCCAAATCACATGCCGAAAATTCAGCTCAACTCTCAAATATCGCACATAAATTGATGAGCTTAAAAGTATTTGAAAGTAATTTGGGCTCTTCTAGGATAAATAATGGTTACAGGGTATAAAAAAAATATATATAGAAAGCGTGACCATAAAAAAGAAAGTACAAACTTTGCCTGCGAGCAAAACAATTTTCACATTTATTTTACAAGCGGCCGTCTGTTTTTTTGCTTCTTTTTTTTGCTGTATTTTGCTTTATGTGGAAAAACATTTTCACATTTTTCGCATTTTCATCGCGTTGGCAGCTTAAATACATCTTTCTGGATTTTTATGCCCATTGCCAATTTGCCTATTGATTTGCCATAGCAAATCCAAAGCAAATATTTGATGAATGTCATTTCTTGGCTAAGCGTGGCGTCTGACGTATTTCTGTGTGTTTATTAAGGACCATCATCAAAGATACAAGACTTATTATATTAAAGTAGATGTCGCCTGTTCGGCTAGAGCTGCGACTTGGCCAGGGACTGGGCTTTAAATCCGAGTCAAACAAATAGCCAAATGCCGCCTAGATTTGTATTTATGCGCCTTCGCTGCCAGCACAAAGTGAAATTGAAATGAAAAGTGTTGTGGCTAATGCACAGCGCGTGCCTAACACACAGGATCAGGTTCAGGACCAAGTCAGAGGATGTATGCCGGCTGCTGCTCTCAGCCAAAACTATTCACAATGACGCAATATGCGAACAGGAATTTCATTTGATTGCTAAGCAAAAAGTTGTCATTAATTAAATTAAGACATTCAATGATTAAGCAGCTATGACTGAGTAGGGCACCATAAGATTCAGGGGACTTGCAAATAAGTTGAGCTATGCACAGCGAGAACTATAAAAATTATTTAGCTTTGTCTTTTACACTTGATATAAAATTAAATGGTTATTTTCTTATACCCTGTACTCGTAAAATTAGTGTAAAAAGTGTATAAAAAGTTAAAGGGAGACATGTCAAAGGCTATAAAGTATATAAAGACGACAAGCTGAGCTATGCCAGTTCATCACCAGGGACAATAGAATCTTGAGACAAATTTGTACAAAATTATAAATAAAGCTAAGCTATAAATTGTTACAAATATATAGTATATAGTACATATTATTTCATCTAAATATATAAAGAAATTGTCAATTTTGTTGACGAATAGGCGTGCAAAAAGTTTGATACTAGCTCATATAGCAAAACTTCATTAGTTTTGCTCCAAACAAATGCTAATCAATGTCCTAACTTTAGCGTCCTTTTTTGTTCAATTTGGCACTTGAATTGGTAATATATACAAAAATATACAATTGAAAACAAAGCCAATAGAAGAAAAGAGCTGATAGAAGCAATCAAAAATTTTTTGTTCACATAAATTTTAATTGATATACTCTTTTATGTGCTAAATTCTTGGACTTTTGGGAATTGTAAAAAAGAAAACAAACGAAAAAACAAGTTCCGCTTCCAGCAGAAAAATTACTCATAACATACGCTGCGTATGCAGACAGCCTTCTGCTTGGGCAATGTGACGTGGGCAAAAAAAAAAAATAAATAAAATGCAATGTTTATTCAGGTCAAAATGCGTCTCTGTTGTTGCTGTGCCAGACATCTTTTGTCTTATTAATTATTTTCAACATTTTTTTTATTGGTGTGGTTGTTGTACAAGGACCTTGCCCCACGGGTAGCTTTGCGTGCAACAATGACATACAGTGCGTGCCGCAGCGTCAAATGTGCGACAAACATCTCGACTGCGAGGATGGCAGCGATGAGAATCCGGTCGAGTGTGGCAATCTTTATGGCAGCAAGGAGCTAGCCGATAAAATTGTGCGTAATGCGATTGAAAAGAAAAAGCAGCAGCAACAACAACAGCAGCAGAATCAACGCCTCATGATAGTTGCTTCGAATTCCAGCGCCTGGGATTCGCCTTCGCTGGCGGGCAGCAGAAATCAAAGCATGCCCATACCCTGTGGTACGTATTGACAAGATTGAGAAATCCGCTTAAGGCGCACACGGCCATTGTTTGGGGATGAATGTTGTGGAATATTGATAGAAATCTTGGCAGAGCATGTGCATGTTAAAGTGATTTAATGAGTGTACAGCCGGCTATTTAAATTAAAGAAATCGTTCTTTATAATTCTTATGGAGTCGTGCATAATTCAAAAATAGTCAGAGCTCTAATAAGGTTTATAAGGAAATATATAAACTATTTACGAGTCCGACTAATTTAGACTAACTTTTTTGTAAATTTAAAAATAACGACTGACAAATAAATAAATAAATGTTTGGTAAGCCTCAGCTGCTAAAACACGTAATTTTCTCTTAGACTCACATATTTTATATTCTACTCTAATTAATTTAAATAAAAATAAACAATTCTTAAATGATATAAAATAAAATAGTAAATATTTTGTTTTCACCCCTTTCTGATACTTTTTAATACATATATTCAAATATATATTTTTAAATTATTTTGTTTAACTTATTTATCTTTATAAATTTATCTTTTAAAGCTGGTGCTTGTTAGCAGATTAATATATCATAGATTTTTGCATGTATATATATATATATATATATATATATATATATATATATATAAATATATATATATATATATATTTATGAGTTGCCATTTCATTTACATTTCAACTCTTACTTAGTTCTATTAGCAACGCATGCCACACTGTCAATAATCTGTACAATCTTACCTGTTCTTATATGCCCCATCAGCTATCACAACATATCCACGACAATGCCAGTGCGGCGGTGGCACGATGCTCTACTGTGGCAGATTTGCCAAGCTACGTCGATGGCCGCGCATCAGCGAGGAGGTGACGAATCTCTTCATCATACGCAACAATGTGACACTGAGAGAAAATCTATTTGCCAATTTGACGCGCCTCCAGAAGCTGTAAGTGCACTCTAGCCCATATGCTTACCACCTATAATAAATGTATATATCTTAATCTCTAGCACGCTCAAACACAACAACATATCACGGCTGCCACCGGGCTGCTTTAGTGGCTTGCCGCATCTGGAACGCCTCGAGCTGGGCCATAATAATTTTAGCCAATTGCCGCATGGCATACTCAAAGATCTGCCAGCGCTGCAGTGGCTGTTCCTGGTTAACAATCAGCTGCGCTCTTTTCCCATGGACCACTTGGCCGCCATGCATAAGCTGGAGTGGCTCGTCCTGAGCCACAATCGCCTGACCCTGCGGAATGAGCAGCTGTCCAAGAGTCCGAAGCTTGTCGAAATGTAAGTAACATAAGTAACTGGAACTGGGTCTGGGCTAAATGTTGCCGCTATTTGTTAGATTAAAAAACAACAACAGCAAAAATAGGAATATTTGTTAAGGTCCTGTACTCGTTCAGTTGATGTATTCAAGCGTGAAATGCTTTACAGTGTCTGCGTCTCTGTCTGTGACACTGGCTGGAACCGCCAGCATTTTTTTTTTTGGGGGCGGGTCGAGCACCATCAAGTGCAGTTGGGCATGTGTTGTGCCCTTAATGGAGGGTTATGGCATGGGTGTAGCAGTTATAAGCCATTATGATGTGCCATGGATGGCATAATAACAGTTGGCATTTAAAGCTGCCAAAACACAAATAAAGCTAGCCAGTTTAATATAGAAATTGAAAATATATTGAATTTTGGGGCACAAGCCTCTGAGAAGACGGAAGATTGAATTATAATACATATCTATTTTATATTTATTATTATTGTTGAATTTTATTTTATTTTATTTATGATACTATTTATATCATAAATATTTCATGAGCAATTGCACGCCTCACTTTAAAAAGCCTTTAAACTTAATATACCATAGTGCGATTTATTGCCCTGCTTTTTAGGCTTATTTCAAGCAACCACTAACTAACTAACTAACTAACCAACCCCCATATATCATTTGGTCAGGAGAGCGTGAAAAGATACAATCAGCTGGAGACCGTGGGTTAGATATAGTTACGAGCACTTAAATACTACTTTTAGCGGAGGGCGTTTGTGGTTAATGGTTTTTTCTGTTTCACAGATATGCCCTTACAAAAGATACTCTACCTAATTCTACTCGTTTGTTCAGCTTTTAAGATTTTCACATTAAGCTATGCGTTTTATTTAGGGAAAATCAGAGCCTGTTTGGGAGGCTTGCCCAGAAATTGGCGCAGAAAATGTTCCCACTTTTGAAATGATAAAATATCAACAGTTGAGATAATATTTTCATACCCTGAACCTATTGAAAATGGGTAAAAAGGGTATTATGTATTTGTGCAAATATATGTAACAGGCAGAAGGAAGCATCTCCGACCCCATAAAGTATATATATTCTTGATCAGCATCTTTGGCCGAATCGATATAGCCATGTCTGTCTGTCCGCCCGTCCGTCCGACCGCCCGACCATCCGTCCGCCCGTCCGTCCGTCTGTCCGCATGTATGAACGCAAGGATATCAGAACCTATAAGAGCTAGAGACTGGAAATTATAGGTGTAGGTCCTCCTTGTGCCTGCGCGTTTGCTTTGAATTCTATTAACAGCATTGCAATTGCGACTGTTTTCTGTGCTGCTATTTGAATTCGTTTCATTTTAAATAATACTTTATTGGTGTGGCGGTTAAGTAGAGTGGTATTAGTGTTGGAATAAGAGGGTTCAGGGTATTCTCTCTTCGGGATCTTCCTGCTAGAACCCCTTGTTAAAATTAGTTTAGGACCAAATATTCGATTTAGCTTAAAGTACAACACAATAAAAAATGTATTTATATAAACTTATGTTTCCAGTTAGACTCTATTTCTGCATGCTTGAATTTAGGGAAGTTCCCTTCGATTGAGGTCCACGGAAATATCATAATGTTTAATATGCAACAATTTTTGCTTAAATCTCGACTTTTTTTTATCAATTTTATTATATAAAAACAGAGCTTAAGTGCAGAGTATGCAGAGTTCTCTGCGAGCTGTAACTTCCTGTTTTAATCGTTTTTCCTTTTATTCTAATTGTTGCTGCACTTTATTTTCCAGCTTCTTGGATAACAATCGCATCGAGTATATTGGCGAGAAAACTTTTGCGCAATTGGATAATTTAGAGCTGCTGTAAGTTGAAATGGAAAAACCTAACTAGAATTTACCCTTTTACTAGCCCCAAGGACGCGCATATTAAGGCTGCCCCCAATACATTTGGCCATTTCACTTATTGTTTTTCTGTTTTGGTATTTTATTTTAAATGCTGCAAACGGCTGCCTGCCATCGTCCCAGCGTGCCCCTTGCACTAAACTCTTAACAAAAAGTGTCGAAAAGTCTATTGAAATATGTTGTACTTAGGTTTTATGGTGCGTATGCGTAATTTTTACTCTTGGCTGCATTTGCTTTCATTTCGTTTTCGGCTGCGCTATCATCGGCGCTGCTACAAGATTTATATGGGTTACATTTGCCTGGCAATATCCCTCAAATCCTAGTCCCAAAACCCTCCCACTGCCAGACTAGCAGACTAGCAGTCAGCAAAATTGAAGCGGAGAGAGAATTTCAAACAAATTGTGCATACGCACAGTTGACGCAGTTGAGATACTATTGGTATATCAGCTGAACATGCTATTCAATTGGACACCTTAGACGCTTGAATTATGCGTCAATAAGCATAAATTTCACTTACAATTGTTTACACATATGCTCCAAAGCAAATACTTAAACGTAAATCGAGACATGCAAATTGCCTGCATGTGTGTGGGTGCTAACCTGTGAGGGTGTGTGGCCTATAATTCAGTCATATCTCTAGCAGTGTGGCAATTTGAAAACATTTATCAGGCATCTTCGTCTGCCTTCGGGTGCACACAATCATTAATTTATGCATCAATAGCTGACAATATAAGTCAATGGGTCGTCTGGGAGCCCGGCGTGTTGGTAAGTGAAAATAAATCAGCATCACAAATTGCCGCACGTAAATAAATGTGTGTGTGTGTGTGCCCCTGCACAAGCGAAAACTGGCTTAGGCTGACACCCGCTGCGTATACGCAATATTTTGTAGCTCATCTAAGTTTGCCTTACAATGATTTGCAAAATAGCTGAATGAATTTTACCACAGACAATAGACTGAAAAAAGAATTTGCTTATCACCAGGAAATATTTAGCTCTGTATATAATGCAATAATCCTAGATCTGACTTTATTAAATCGAGCTCTTTCGGTTGTAGGTATCTTTAATGACTTTCACTTCGATTAAAGATGTCCAATATTCGGTAGACTGAAAATCTATTGCATAAATTTGAATAAAATATTTGTGATTTCAGAACCAACTACATTTTGCTCAAAAATTGTGAGCTAACCCTATTTCCGATATAAACTGTTTTTCTCTAACTTGCAATATCTGCTCCTGAAAGTATGCAGCAGAATTTTGCAATAGTCAAATGTTTGCCGACCTATTTGTGATTTGTGCTCACCTAAATGAAATCAATGCCCAAAAATTAATTTGTTCTCTTAATTTTCAGGCAATTAATAAACAAGCAACAATTTAATAAAATATTTTTTCATGCCTAACTTCCCTTCCACAGCGATCTTCAGTACAACCTTATCACACACATCCACGTGAAAGCCTTTGCAAATCTAACTGCCATTTCAGATATGTGAGTATATATTTATATATATATTAAGTTATTAAATATGAAGCGGACGCTAAGCATGAATTATGGGGCGCAGCACTAATTAGCATAAAAACATAACTAATGCCCCCTTGGGCCGGGTAAATAAACTCGCCAATTGGTCTGAGAACAAACAAAGGCAAAGCTGGACAATTGCTGAAATGGCCAATAAAGAACCGAAAAATTATTTTCGGGAGCAGTGGCAAGCACAGCAAAATGAAAAGCCGTAAATTTTCAGAGTTCTTCCAAAGGGAAATCAAAGTTGGATTCTATTTTTTCCTTAACATCTATTTGCTTTGTTTTTTTATTATATAGGCAATTTATAGTTTATAGATAATCTACCGATTGTAATCGTTAAAATATCTATTTATAGCTATATCTATGACCACATCGATCACACATTCAATTTGGCATTTTATGATCTTGGGCACGCCTTCTAATTTGACTACTTATTGCATAAATTATTAGCTCGGAGCTAGTCGAGCCTTTATAGCCAACTCGTATAAAAGCTCTGTGTGTGTGCGTGTGTGTGTGTGCTTGTGGTAACTCACAACAAATAATACAATCTATAAACTAAAATGTTGCAGTGGCTCATAAAAATGTTAATAGCTGTGACGACAATTCACGTTCAAGGCAGATATGCTTAATATTGTAGAGATTTTTTCAGTTGTTCTTGGAAAGGACAACTTTAGGTGAATCATAAGAGATTGCACTTGAAGAATGCTTGTTTAATGTGAGTTTTTCTATGGATAATAGTGAACAATTTCATTTCATTTATTTAAACTTTTTTAATGGAACAACAAAAAAGGTTCTGTGGATTTATATTTATATTTATTATACCCTAAGCCCATTGAAAATTAGTAAAAAGGAAACAAATGCATTTAACGGGCAAAAGATGCAACTCCGAATATATATATATTTTTCAGCAGGATCAATCGCCGAGTTGATCTAGCCATATCCGTCTATCTGCCTAGCTGTCCGTTTGTTCGTCTATCCGTCCGTCTGTCTGTCCGCATGTATGAACGCAAGGATCTTAGAACCTTTAAGAGGTAGAGACTTGATATAGCTAGCGGCACCAGCCTCTTCCCCCGCCCCCCTCCCCCTCCCCAAGAAGAACCTTGTCATTTGTTGTTTCAAATATTTCATATATAATGTATATAATATATAATATTTGTAATATAAGCTAGCAAGCAACTTTAAAGATCTTGAAAGAACAGCTTGCAATATTATGAATAAATACTTAAATATTAAAAATGTATTATATTTACATTTAGAGATACATTTGTATCTTCAATCTGCCAGCCAAGTGTAAGAGTCCTCCAAACACAATTTATGGCTTAAATTCAGTTCGATTTCTTTAGCTTGTGCCGTTACTTATGCCATGCTCTGCTCGTATACACACATACACATAAATATATCAATATCATATTTAATAAATGTGGTCGCCGGTCTGCCAGCTACCCCAGTCTGGCACCAGGCTAAGGCGTTAATAAATTTACCAGCCCGACTAACATATACATCAGCATCAGCATATCAATGCCGAGACACACGCACACACACACGTTAAGAAATATGTTGTCACTTGTACAAAAAAAAAAAACCAAAAAACGACGAAAAAGATATTTAAGCAAATGTATCTGCAGCTTTTGTATCTTTGGACAACGCTGTCTGCGTGTTGACTTTTGGGCTACGGGGGCAAGTTGACGGCTTCAGGCGACGACAGCACCAGCAACAGCAACAGCAACAAATAAACAAATAGCATTATGGCCAAATAAAAATGCAAATAAATTTGTTTTTTATGCGAAAACAATTTCGACAAAGTAGCGCCCGGGTTTGGCTGATGGACAGCACATGAACTAGCTATGGGTTCGAGCCTTGCGCCGGCCAACCCGCTGCCATATAATGAAGGAGTTTATTGAAATTGGCGCTGTGCTTGGTCTTTTGGCCATTATTATCCCTAAAGTCATTGTTGGCAGCGAGTGAAATCCTTTGCTTGCCTGTTGATGTTGCCCGTCCCCAGTGTGTGGGCGTGTGTTCTTTAGCATGCAAATAATGCGCCTGCAAGCGTGCTGTGAATTTTTGAAAAGTCTCTCGGTTGCGCAGCGTCAAGTTCATAAAACAAATGTGACTTTTATGGCACTACGCTTTGTATCTCCCAGATACATATGTATCTGGAGCTGCGTGTGTGTGTGCGCGCGCCTGCCCGTGTTGTCTTCCTTTAAATGCCGCTCACATTTCTGCTGACTTGTTGTTTACTTGACCAGACCTTCCACCCACATTTTGTACAGTTGTCTAACATAAAAAATCGCTGCACTAATTTGATTTTTGCCGTTCCAACAAAATTCGCACTGGCAGCTCATTTTCTGGCTAGCTGCTTTCGGCCAACAAGTGTGCTCGCGCACGTGTACAGGGTGTCTTTTCTTGTGGCTCGACTGGAATTAAAGCGCAATGACGTTAATTGCGGCCAATGATTGTAATGCCAGGGCAAACACAGAAAATCACCCACGGCAAATGGCGCACGCGAGGACATTGCTCGAAAGGTTTCGCAGCGCAGTACGTGCCATTTCCACTGATTGGCCTAATACCCTTCATTTAATTGTATCAAATGCCAACAAATGGATCGACCCCACGCCCTTGTTTTTTTTTTTAATGCGTTGGTGGCTTGTCAGAATATACTTTTAGATTTATAATATTTTTAAATATTTAAAAAAACCCTTCTATTCGCTTTTTGTTTTTCAATTATACAAGGTATATATACAAACAATAATAAAGCGCATTTTTATAATTTTAAAATAATGCAAGAATTTCTTTTCAATACCTTTTTAAATTAATTTGAGTATTTTTTTTGTTTAAAAAATAAGCGCAATGTCATACTGTTTATGTTCTATGATGAATTATACTAAATTATTGCAGTAATTAAAATAAAAACGGTGCTCATATTAATGCAAAAATATCTTAAGATTGCTTTTAAAAAAAAAAACGATAACATTTATTGCAGTAAAATCAAATATACTCAATAAAAGTAGAACTATCTCTCCTCGGTTGGACACATTAATTAATAAAAATCTTGAATACATACAGGAATGCCCCAACTACAATTAAAATGTTTAACAAATTATTTAATGCAACTTAAAATTCGTTTAAAAATATGCAGGAATACCCCAACTAATTATTTAAAAGTAAAAACATTTTCATTGTTTAGTGCAGCAAAATATTTTCATATAGTTGCACTTTCTACCTTAAAACTAGACGGACTTTAGGCCTTTGTACTAGGCTTAAGACACATTAAGGGCATGCATCATGAAATAAGAATTCTGTGTAGGGCAGAGCATTCAGGCAGTCGTTGTTTGCCAATTGAGTTACATTTTAAGCCGCAATTCGTGTTGTGCCCTAGCACTAATACAACTATGGGCAGCTATTTGACATGTTGTTAAATGTGCATTGACCGACCCGCTGCCCACCTTATTTTGTGTGTCTCCCTCCCTGTGTGTGTGTGTGTGTGTACGCGCGTGGGCGCTCTTCTGACGCATTATGTTGCCTACTTTCGTGCGCAGACAACCGCAGAGCACACACATGTATGCGTGTGCCTGAGCAAAAGCAATGGGCATTACATGGGCCACTTATTTGCCGGAGGAAGGGAGTGAGGTGGTAGGCACTTATTACAGGCTGGCAACTTGTTGCCGCCGCTTGTGAAATATGTTAATTGTCGTCTGAAATTATCAAAGGCCCAAAACATCTGCCCCGACATTTATGCACTGTTATTAAGTAGCCTTTTTAATGCCTGGACAACCAGGGCTCAAAGCCTGCCCCTTTTTTGTGGCACTAAGTGTCGCAGAATTAACATAAAATTGCGGGACAGGCATCGATCGAGTGGAGGTGGGGCAGCGACAGCATTATCAAAAAGCAATTTATGCTGCAAGTAAAACATTTACTTTATGGTTCAGCTAGTGCCAACACACACAACAAACCCTTCTCACGGCCATCCCCTTAACCAAACAGCATGGAATGCAACTTTATAGCTGGCGAGCAATTACCAGCTCTGGCTGTTTGCTGGATACGAGCTGCTGTGCGCGAGGGTTGTCTCTGATGGGGGGAGGGAGAGCGTGTCGAATTGTCTTTGTGCGGCAAGCCATAAAAACAAACTGTTTTTAGTTGACGCCGGCATTGATTGAGCAGACAAGTGCAACGAATGGAGCTAAATAGCATCAACATCAGCTGCTGCACTTCACAGACGCAAGCGCGCGGACACGGGGCAGAGATGAACGGAAGCGGGCAAACGGGAGATGAGCGGATGAGCGCTGGCTACGGCTGGAGCCAACAGCGACGTCTGCAAGCTGTCATGAATGATGCGCTTTTTCCTGTGACTGAGCAGGCCACAACACCCAATTCTACAACACAACACAAACCCCCGGACCCCCCCCCCCCCCCCCCCCCCCCCACCCATCCGAAGATAAACTATAAATGTGTGCAGTGATTTATATCAAATACACACACACACAACCACACAGAGCTATTAAATAAGAATTTTCGTTATTATGTCGCACATAGTTTTGTTATTCGTGTAGATTTTATTGTGCGACTTTTAAAGCTGTTGCGTTTGAGTAATAAAAGGGGAAAAAAAGAAAACTTTTTAAAGACCCTACCCCTAGATATGTATTTCGCACATATCCAAATGCACATGTATGTAATCCGGCAGTTGAAAGCGTCAACAAATGTTGTCTTGTGTTTTTTTTCTTTTTTTTGCTTTTATCAGCTTAAAATTCCTGTGCGCCCATTATTTGGCTTACGCGGCGTATGCGCAATCTTCTGCTCTGTATAGACGGCTCATTTCATGCATTTTTTTCACTCCTATTTTCTCTGCTTTTATAGCCGGCTCATTGGCAATCCCATTAGGGAATTATCTGGCGAAACATTTCTGTACAACACACACCTGGAGGCGCTGTAAGTAAAGAATAATGCAATTTTTTTGACTTTAAGTAGGGGCAGGCATCTGCTATTTTGGGCTAAAGAATTAATTTGGATTTATGTTATGAATATGAGACATAAGATTACCTTGAGTCTTGTCTCTGTATCAAATTTTCTTGAGCAGTTGAAAAGACATTTTGAAGAAAGTTTATATTGTTTCAAAATAATTTAATATTACTATATTTCTATATGTATTATTTGTATGCTCTTAAACAGCTCCCTGGCGAACATGCCGCTGCCCATAGACCGCAATCTAATAAAATCTCTTAACGTATCCTTTTTGAATCTAACCGGAATCGAGTTCGAACGCATTGACTTTGCGGCACTTAATGAGATACGGAATCTTAAGTACATAGTCTTCGATCGTTTCTACTACTGCTCCATGACGCCGCATGTGCTGATGTGCAAGCCCAAATCGGATGGGGTTAGCTCGTTAAAGGATCTGTTGAGCAAGCCCTCGTTGCGCCACTCCACCTGGTTCATGGCAACGCTCTCCATAGCTGGCAACCTGATGGTGCTCTGGGGCCGTTTCATCTATCGCGATGAAAATGTGGCGGTGACCATGGTCATTAGAAATCTGGCGCTGGCCGATCTGCTGATGGGCTTCTATCTGCTCATCATTGGCGTGCAGGACTTTCGCTTCAGGGATGAGTATCACAAGTATGTATGCGACATATATGTGCCATATAGTTTGACCAATATATCGCTTTTTAGGGTGGCCCGCGATTGGATAAGCTCGTGGCAATGCAAGGCAATTGGCACGCTGGCTGTCAGCTCCTCGGAGGTGTCCATGCTTATATTGGCCTTTATGTCGCTGGAACGTTTTCTGCTTATTGCGGACCCATTTCGTGGCCACCGAGCAATCAGCGTACGCATCATTTACTTCTCGCTGCTGTGCATTTGGGTTACTGGCGTGGGTCTGGCCATTACGCCCGTGGTCATCTGGTCGTCCAGCACAACGGACTTCTATGGCACCCATTCGGGCACCTGTTTTCCCTTGTTCATTCATGAGGCCTATCCCCTGGGCTGGCAGTACTCGGCCTTTGTGTTTCTGGGCGTCAATTTGCTGCTGCTGCTTATGATTGCCCTCTTGTATACGGCTCTGTTAATATCTATTTGGCGTACCCGCAGCGCCACGCCCCTTTCGCTGTTGGACTGCGAATTTGCGGTGCGTTTCTTTTTTATTGTACTCACAGATATGCTGTGCTGGGCACCGATTATAGCCATGAAAATTTGGGTTTTCTTCAAATATAATATCTCGGATGATATTTATGCCTGGCTGGTGGTCTTTATATTACCGCTCAACTCTGCAGTCAATCCGCTGCTTTACACCTTTACCACGCCCAAATATCGCAATCAAATCCTGTTGCGCGGCTGGAAGAAGATAACGTCAAGGAAACGCACCGAGACGGGACATGGTAATGTAGCCAATACAACAACGGGCACTGCGACGGGCTCCTCACAGAATCCGGAAGAATATACCACAGCCACAGGCATAAAGTCTATGCCATTGGCATTGACGCTAAGCCACTGAATTGCTGGTCAACCTTACCAATTTTTTTCGTACTCTTCATTATGTCTAAATACTCTAACCATATATATGATATATATGTATCTATATGTGTCTATATGTGCATCCAAGTCATTGTTAACCAATCCAACAAAAGCGTGAAATACATTTAATGTGATATTTGTAAAATACGGTTAACTTTTTTGTTGGGACTGGGCTTAACTTTAGAAATTTCCAAACTTATGTCCTTAATGAAATTAAAACAAGTGGTTCTAGTCGGGAGCTCCCGACTAGGGGTTACCCTGAAACCTCGTCTTCCAACATCAAATATATATATATATATATATATATATATATATATCGATTGCTCGGAAACGGAGTAAGTTATAAGTTAACAAACTCGATCTGCGCGGGAACTAGGAGCATCTACATCTAAAATTTCAAGTCACTAGCTCTTATAGGTTCTGAGAACCTTGCGTTCATACATACGGACAGACGGACGGACGGACAGATAGACGGACATGGCTAGATCGACTCGGCTATTGATGCTGATCAAGAATATATATACTTTATGGGGTCGGAGAAGCTTCCTTCTGCCTGTCACATAAATTTGGATTTTGCACAAATACAATATACCCTTTACCCATTTTTAAGGGGTTCAGGGTATAAAAATAAATTCCAAGCCAAGGCTTGAACCAAAATAATGTGGAAAAGTCGATTCACAAACCGAATCCCAAAACACGAACTTGGTTCGAAGCGTCAAACCAATGAAATCTTATTTCTTGATTTGCAGCCATTTGTTTAAATTAACTTTTTATGAGTATTTTTGCATTAACATCTTTTGTTTTGTAACATTCGACTACGTCCGAGTCCATCATTAAACAGAGCTTAAATGTTTGATGATGTTTGCCCGTCTACCTGAGGAGAAGCCGTCGCCAGGTTGCATAAATGCACTCAGCTGTCATTAGTTGCGCCATCAAGCTCCTCCTGCATTTCCTGCTGCTCCCCCTGCTGCTGTGGCACCTTAAGCTTGGCCAGCACACGCTTAGAGCGCATTATATGGAATTTACGCATGGACTCCAGTTGCTCCAGTGTCAGTTGCATGTTGTGTTTGCGTTGTGCGTGCAGGCGCAGTCTGCAACAGAGATTACAAATTAATAGTAGGAAGGCAAATGAGGGAGGGATAACAGGACTGACTTGTAACGAGCCGGAAATCCTTGCTGACAGACATTGCACTCGAATGGCATCTCGGTGTGAGTGCATTCGTGATTGCGCAGTGCCGAAGATGAGGTAAACAGCTTGCCACAACTGCCAAATTGGCAGAGAAAACGTGCGCTGCCGTGCTGCACCTGCTGATGGACAGTCAGGTGGGAGCGTTGCGCAAACTTGCGATCGCACTGATCACAGTCAAAGGGAAAGAAACCGTTGTGATAGCGCATGTGAATTTCAAGACCCTTGGCAATGGCAAATACCTTACCGCAGATGGTGCAGGCGCTGCCCGACTTCTTGTGCTGCGTATCCACGTGCACCTTGAGCGCCTGCTGGGTGAGATAAAAGCGATCGCAGACGTTGCACTTGAAGTGCGGCCGATCCGATAGATGTATGAGCTGATGCTTCAGCATGTGCGAATGATTGCGAAACGGTTTCTTGCAGAACTGGCAGCTAAATGGGCCCAAGAAACGTTGGCGGGGAATAACATCATTAGCCGTGCGGAAGGCTATGTTTGTGGCAGTGCTCATAGTTTCCGGTTCACTGGCCGATTGGTCTGCAGCCGGTTCCTCCAGCTCCACATCGCTTAAGGTATCTTCTATAACATGCGGATCTTCTACTAAATGTTTATCAAACTCTATGGCCAGCACATGTTCCTCGCCATCCTTGTTGTCTTTGTCGATCTGTTCGGAGTGCTCTTCCTTTTCAGCTTCACTGTGCATGTTTTTTAAGTGCTTGTTTGCTAACGCAACTTTTTTGTAGAAATCATATGCCCACTGTAGCTCCACACCGCAGTGCTTGCACAATTTGTGGGGCTCATGCTCCCCGCAGTCCAGCAGATTGTCCTTTGTACATATCTCATAGCAATCGTAATATGTAAGTTGTGCGTCCTCGTCATATATCAAATTCATGTCTAGCATCTGGGCGCGATGCGGCTGCTCAAGACAAACGCGACAGCAGTTGCCCAAATCTTCAATCAAGATTGCAGCAATAGCCACAGTCATTACAATTTAAAATAAAAAAAGGAGCTTTAAGCGCGGACTTTAAATTGCGAATATAAACAAACTTTCGGGCAAAGGAGACCAAACACAGCGCAGCTCTTAGAGATGTGCAAAAACAATGGTCTTCGTAACAAAACGTATCGAAAAGTAATATCGAAATAAAAATCACAGTTTTCGAATATTCACAGCTCACCACTAACTATAGTCGATAGCAATAACCCTCAACTGCATCGTTTTTGAGGGGGTCACACTGGTACCGGCTTATGTTTTGACATTCAATCGACGATTTAAATCCCTGTGCAGCCACCCAACAATCATAATGGAGATTGAGCCTAGGACGACATTGGTACCCGATTTGGAGCATCCAGATGACGGCCAGTACATTTGGCTGCCAATTCTAGTGCTATTGGGAGTTATTGTGCTCGCGGGTCTGGTAACTTTTACTTTTACCATCTTATCTCTATTGATATTTGTACAACTGCATTTCCCTTATTTGCATATGCGTTTATACAAACCACATTAAGGTTTATGCCATGTCACGTAGCCGTCGTTCACTCAACTGCGTTTACTTCAAACGTCGCAGTGCCACGCGTAATGGCTACGCCAATGTCGACGAAGAGGATTCAGATGTATCCATGGTTGGTGCAGATGATTTTGGAGAATCAAATGCCATAACAAGTCTCCTGGATGCTCGCTTACATATAGGACCTGTGTGTACTATTCGTTTGTCTTTATATAGTCTATGTTAACTGTATTTATTAACAGCGATCCGAGGGTAATCGACAGTCGAGCCAATTACACCTTGATGCAGATGACATCGCCTTGCGTACCTAGCTGAGGGATTTCCCACAGTGCTTTAACAGAGGACAATCGCTTCCAAATTAAGGGAAACAAAAGACTAATTACTGGCTTACATTGTTGCATACACACTTTCATTTTATTGTCTACGTTATCTTTTGCTGTTAACGTCAGCTTAAAGTGAAGCGTAACTAATACGCCTTGTCTAAACGTGCTAGACATTTGTACATTTCTTAAAAATATGTGCCTATTTTCGCTGTTAATCAACGGTATTAGCGGCGTCTAATAGACGCGTTGTTAGATCATAAAAACCAAAGAAAAATGCACCGCCCAGTGTTATCCAGAGCACGCGTGGCACAATGCCGGCAAACAAACTAGAATAGATAATAAATATACATACGAACGAAACACAATAACTATATCATTCGTATAATGTTTACCCGCTGATGCCGCGCTCCATATAAATGCCATGCAGTACAGCTGGTATGGTGCGCCGCCGCGCCAAGCTCTCCCGATCTGCGAGCATTATGCGCGTCTTGACCACATCCAGCGGCGTTGTTAAACCAGCCGCAATGCCACCCGCAACGGCGCCACACAGAGCAACAGAGAAGGGTGTCGAGTCATAGCCCGTCACTGGCGTCCACTGTAGCTTAAAGTATTCCCACAACGGGAACTGTATGAAACTGAAAGGGATTTCACGCATGATCGTTGAACCAAAGCCTCGATAGAGTCCACGTCGCAGACCCTCAGTGCTATAGGCGCGCAATAGAATTTGCAGCGCCGTCTGGTGCTGTTTGTGGCCCAAAAGCGTTTGGGAACGTTGTTTGGCAATTTCTACAGGTACACGTATGAGGCAGGCGAGCTATGAGAGATGCAGAGGATAGCTTAATAAAGTTCTTTGAGCCAACTGCAGCTACTTACCACTTCCGCGCTAGAGGCAGCTGCCATGTGAACAAAAGGTGAATCTTTGGTGTTGCTCACGGAGCTCAGCAGCTGCTTGCCACACTCGTATGTGCAAAAGAATAAGGCGGCAGTGGGTGCGCTGCCAGCTGCCGCTGGCGCCAAGCCTTTGTATATGCCACGAAAGCCGCCGGCGCGCCAGAAACCCAATTCGCTTTGTAAACGCGTCTTAACCGTATCGATTGGAAAGAGTGCAATATCCACAACAAATCCCGCGACGCCACCAGCCTAAAATGCATAAACATAACAGATTGAATTTGTATTTGATATCATGTAACAACTTACGATAAGCGCGTGCAGAAATGTCAGCTTGGAGACCGGCTCCTGCATATCGATTTGCGCCGGAATTGCAGCGGGCGCTAGTTCCGCTGTCATTTGTTAGTATAGTGTTTAGCAATTGGTTGTCCTATAAACACATGCTGCAACTCAGTTGTTTTTATTTAAAAACAAACTCCAAACGAATGTGGTTGTTAACGTAACCGCAACATCAGGAAATAATACACCAGCGCGCCGAAGATTGCATACGCTTCGGCATACATGAAGGTATTGTGTGTGCTTGTACAAATAAAATAAAAGTGTTTAAATTTAATTACAAAAAGATTTATCACTATTACTTTAATTGCTTTAATTACTGAAGTCTTAATAGAGCGCATTAAATGAGCATGCGTTTTTTCTAATCGAGATTTCTACTGAATATATTGACAACTATAAATAGTCATTTAGAAATTTGTTTTTTAATGCGCACATTCGCTTCAAATTAAATACAAAATAAATTCGTTTAAAACATTTAGGTGTACTTTTTAATATAATTTTACAAGTTGTTACAAACGTAATGACAGCCACATAATTCTCTTCCAAATTTAAAGAATATTTATGACGTCACGGATTTGCGCCAGTGCTGCCAAGTCGATAGCTCATTTGTTTACGAATCGATAATTTTGCTTTATTCATAACGAAAAAATATCGCTTCGCAAACATATGGTTTTGCGTTTTGGCCGTGGTTACTGACAGCAATAAGAAAAGGGTTGAGCAGCTTTGCACGGCGCACTTGAAAAGGCAAATAAATCACAGAACGAAACATGGCCATACGTTTGACGCACAGATTACTGCAGGCCCAGGTGCCGTTTCTGACGCGCGTAAGTTGTGACCAGTAGACCAGTCCCCTAGTTGACCAACGGAGCGGCTGGCCAAGAAAATTACATAATGTGCTGACTGTGGAGCATGGATAAAAACTGAACTGAGAATTCAATTTTGCGACCTTTGCAGGGCTATCCGCTGCTCGTGACTAAGGAGAAGACCGAGGATGTGGCTCATACGAAATCTAAGTTGCAAAGGAAACTAACGGTACATTTTTGAGGTTATAGAACTAATATATGTATTAGTAACTGCATCTGCTGCTGCTCCACCAGGGCACCGATATACCCTCGGCGCAATATGGCGGTCGCCATGGAGTCACTATGCTGCCTGGCGGCGGCATTGGGCCAGAATTGATGGGCTATGTGCGTGAAATCTTTAGGTACTGTGGCGCACCCATTGATTTTGAGGTAATCGACATCGATCCCTCCACCGAGGGTAACGATGATCTGGAGTATGCGATCACCTCCATCAAGCGTAATGGCGTTGCGCTCAAGGGAAACATTGAGACCAAGTCACATAGCCTGGATGAAACTTCACGCAATGTGGCTATACGTAATGAGCTGGATCTCTACGTGAATGTCGTGCACTGCAAATCATATCCAGGCATTCCTGCTCGTCACAAGGACGTTGACATTGTTCTCATCCGCCAAAACACGGACGGTGAGTATGCCATGCTGGAGCACGAGTCTGTCCAAGGCGTTGTGGAGAGCATGAAGGTGGTGACTATCGACAATGCTGAGCGTGTGGCACGGTATGCCTTCGAGTTTGCGCGCCAGAACAATCGCAAGCGCGTGACAACCGTACACAAGGCGAACATCATGAAGCTCTCGGACGGTCTCTTCCTGGATGTGGCCAATCGTGTGCACAAAGATTATCCGGAGATAGAGCACAACAACATGATCATTGACAATACTTGCATGCAGGCTGTTTCGAATCCGCATCAGTTTGATGTCATGAATATGACCAATTTGTATGGCACCATTGTGTCGAATGTGCTTTGTGGATTGATTGGCGGCGCCGGCCTCATCTCTGGACGCAACTATGGCGATCACGTGAGTATCGTAGTTTAGTGTTATGTATATGGTTTATAGTTTGTTTTGCTTTTAGTTTGCTGTCTTTGAGCCCGGCACCCGTAACACTGGCACTGCTATTGCTGGCAAGAATATTGCCAATCCCGTGGCCATGATCAATGCCAGCATTGATATGTTGAATCATTTGGGTCACAAGGATCATGCCAAGGTTATCTATGATGCCACCTACCATACGATTGTCAATGATGCCATACGCACGCCAGGTTTGATATATGAAAAGCAAGTCGGTGTCGAATTTTGAATGTCAATTCCAAGCTGCCTTATTTGGAATTTGGTTCAATTCTGCACAGGCCTATTCAACATTATAAAACTCGATATTTTATAACATTACCTTTCCTCTCCATATAGATCTGGGCGGCACTAACAGCAGCACCGACGTAGTTGAGAACATACTCAAGATCTTGAGTACAAAGCGTGTCAATTGGTAAAATAATTAACCTGAATTTAACATTTAAGCATATTTGTTTTTGAGAGAGCAGGAGACGTTCGCTTCAGTTGGCGCTCTCCTTTAGTGCTGTATTTAGTCGTATAGAGTATCTATATGTACCATCTATTCGCTTATCCTATTTACTTCACTGTTACACGATGCTGTTAAATGCTGCGCCTATTTTGTTTGTATTATTTAATAATTTCATGCTCTTTTGTATTATTTTCACTTCAACTTGAACAGAACTGTAAGTGTTATACGTAACTTTGCTGTTAAAACTGTTATACTTAACTGTATCTAACCCCAAACCCCAAACACAAACACGAAATTTACTAATTTTATAACAACATATGTTTTGCCTTAAGTTGTTTTATGTTCTTTTTTTTATCGATTCTAAGTAGTAGTATTACCCGTAGTGCCCACAACACACACAAACACACAGAAACACTCACACGTATGTAGCTGCGTCAACACCATTGTATTCCTTTTGAATGTATACCCAAAGTATTTATATGTGCAAATCTAACCGACATATTTACATTTATTTTTCTACTCCCCAAAAATACCATGCTTAACCGTTCCACAGGCCACATGGAAACTATTTCAACCAGTCTTAGGCACCCTTTCCGCATACGAAAAGTCAAAGCCATACTAAACCGCAAACAAATTAAAAAAAAACCCAAACAAATAAAATTTCATATTAACCCTGAATTAAGCCAATCAGAGCCAACTGTTAAAACGAATTATTTCACCCTTAAGCCAATGCATAAAGCGGTTATTGTGATGTCAATAAATATAATTAGAAGCAATCCATTTATTTATTTACGTGGTCAAAATCAAAACATTTGCGCTGCTTTACCAAACAAATCTCCCCCCGGGCTAAGTGTTATGTGTTCTGTGCACCTCCGATGTTCAAAGTTGTATACTACAGGTAATATGCATTTTAATGGCAGAACACTATATATATATTGACTATATAATATGATACTTTATTTACTAGCATCTAACTCATTTTATTTGTTCTATTTCACAGAATTTCTTACGCTCAGCAATGTTTTGAACATGACCGACTTTGACTCTTTAATTTGTTCACCCATTAGGCATATACATAATCCTTAAGCAAAAACAATTCAACCTACTCTATTTTGCAAGTTTTGAAGGTGTACAGTGAAGTCATATAATTGTTTATTACAAACATAATTATGATAATATTAAATTAAATTCAGACAAAATGTATTATTCTGTTCGAATATTTATTAAATAACGAAAATAACAAATTCCTCAAATTTATGAGTTTTATTATCGAAAAAATATAGAAGTATACTTCAATTTCATATTACAGTCAATTCTCTGCGAAGGAACAAACCCAAAACTCGAAATTCGCATGTGCGGCCAAATGTTAACGATCGGCACACAAGGGTTAAGACTCAGCTGTTACGAGCCCTTAGGCACTACAATAGAGTATAGAATCAAGAAAATCGCGAATTTCCCATAAGTAGCAACCGATCAGAGCTAAACTCCTACGAATGATGCTCATTTCATTTGAATATGTTGAAATCCCTATTAAAATGTGGACAAAAGGCATACAAGGGCTAATACCCATTAGCTGCGGCAAAATATCCATCCAATTTTAACAATGGGTTAATCTTTGTATACATCAATACAAACACAAAAACATTTGCTAGTTTCGGTCACTTTATATCAGAAAATTTTGTTTTTATTTAACCTTAAAAAAAAACGTCGACAAATAAATCAAGAGACCTCCACAGATATAGTAGCCGCTTAGAAACGCAGCTTCTGGAAGAACCACTTGTTCTTGCCCTCTTTGTACACCGACTCGAATTTGACGCGAGTCTGGAAACGATGCGTCTTGCGCTTAACGGGATCCTTTAGATCCTTGGGCGACAGTTTCTCGAAGCTGATGTCATGCGCTGTGTAGCGTGTGGGCATCAGATGGTTGTAGTTCAGGCTCTTCAGGAAGGGCTTGATCTTGGACTTCTTCTTCAACTTGTTCTTGCCCATCTTCTTGGTCACCTTGCGTGGGTATCTGTCGATGCCGGCAACGAGCGCATGACCGAAGGGCTTCTCCGGCGTACCATCATCGGAGGTCTTCACAATGATGGCCTTGCGGCCGGCGTAACGTCCACTAAGGACGATTACGATTTTGCCCTGTTTCATAATTTTCCTCATCTTGGCGGCTGTACAAGCAAACGAGTCGAATCCATTGATGTTGTTGTTGGCAGCGATGTAGACGTTAGCATCGAGAGACATGCAAAGTAAATGTAAAATAAATGCAAGGAATTAGCACAAAATCACTTTTATGTCGTTCATAGCACTTAAACAAATGTTGTCAACCAATTATTTGCACTAGCATGTAATTTTTTAATATCATTATTCAATAAGAATATTTTAATTTGTTTCGCTATTTTCACAATTCTTTTGCGTGACCAAAATATGTTTGAGTTAGACAATATTTGTATACAGGCATAGTTTACACTATTATCATTTCATTTGTCCTTGTAATAATTGACGTTGTTTTGATAATACACCAAACTTATAAGATTTTTTTTTAGGCATAGTTTTAACGCGAACTTACAGGTCTGTTCGCTGACCGGAAAAGAAAGAAAAGAGTGACAGCTACGCTGACAGTTGGCAGCACGCTTGGCGTTGCCACTTAGGGCTGTTTTATCGATTGCAAAGATCTGGCAGCGCTTAAAATAAAACGCTAGTTCACGCACAACAGTTGCTAAACAGTTGAGTTGCTTAAAACAGTGTAATAGATTGTTCTATATTTTTAAATAGAAAGTTTTATGTATGCAAGATGCAGCTAATCTCATATTATTTTTAAAGTACTGTTTAGTAAGTTGCAGCAAATCCTTTATTATATTTATTCAAGTGTAAAGCCTTACCTCACCTCGATCATTTAAGAAAAAGTGAGTGCTTCATTCTATTGCGAATATTACAAGAAATATTATGAGTAAACAAAAACAAAAGATTTAGGTGTAATTAACAGCTTAAGGCAAAAAATAACTATATATACTCCATGCCTGTTGAAACATGACTGCCCGTTCACATGCCGTTGCGAAACACCATTATGACGCTAACTTTATCCAAGCGATTTTTAATGTTGTAACGACTGCCTGTAAGAGAATTTATTAAAGAAATATTTTATATGTGTGGGGTAGTTACTTGGCAAATGGTTACCCTTTTTAATTTCTATAGTATCTCCCGTGTACAATATATCTTGGTAGCTCTCCTTCGAGTTCGGGTTGATAATCTCAAACCCAAATTGGCCGTGAAGCGCCACAAAACGCTGTGGCAGAAAGACACAAAATTATACTTTATTAAATTAATTATTTTATAAAAACGCACCAATGTGTTAGTCTTGGCGCGTTTCAAGCCGCGTTGTTGCAACGGCTGGAAGCGCATATAGCCCATGGAGTAGAGATCGTCGGTATGATAGAAGGCATACTCAATGCCGTCAATCTTCGAGAAGTGTAAGTTGGCTGCACGTGCTGCAAGCAACAAATAATATTAATTATGAATTATGATACATATATAGTCATATAGATTAGTAACCTACAAACGGTCATGGAATCGGTCTTGATTTCGCTAACTTCACTGGTGTCTGGCAGCACATCCCTGTCGCCACATAGCCAGGCCATTAGGGTTTCCGATGATTGCTCGTTCGACTGATTGCGGAGCGGGGCAACTGGTGGCAAGTCAGGCGTTTGTTCCAAGTCCGGCATAGTGATCTCCTGTTCTTCCGTTTGAGCAACTGTAGCGTTATCTTGCTTCTTCTTGCTACCTTTCTTGGATTTAGTTGTTTCATTTAACTGCTTAGCGCTAGCCACGGCTGGCGTCCTCTTTTTGCGGTCACTTCTTTTAGGCTCAGCTGGCTGCGCTACTGGCACATCATCCGCCTCTTCTTGTTCGGTTATGCCGCTAAGACGGCTTATGCCTGAAATGGCATCCGCATCGCTTGATTCGCTGTTCTGATGCTGCAGTGGCGCCCGCTTGCGCTTGCCACTCGTACCGCTGGTTGGAGTAGCTGCTGCATTGCGCGGCGTGCTGCTGGACAAAGGTGGTCTTTTCATCAAGGAATTGCCGCCAGCTGCAGCTGCTCGCTTCTTCGGCTTGCTGGCCTTTAATGGGGGCTCAAACGTTTTGCGCATAAACATGAAGGGATCGCTTATGGTGTGCACCCAAGTGTTGCAGAGCTGCACCTGCCCGCGTCTGGAACGACGCACTCCGGCTATGGCAGAGAGCGAGTGAAAAATACGTTAATAATTGCTTTTATTCATAAAGTACTTGTGCTTACTTGTGTTGGCATCGGCTTCGTCTTCATTCTCACCCGACGGCAGCGTCTCGTTGGCTAGATTAATGCGCAGATTACTTAGTTGTCGCTCCAGATAACTCTTTTGATTACGCTTGGCACGTGGCGCTGGCGCCGTTGGTTTCTTAAAGACATCGTCTGAAAGCGGCGGTTTCTGTGCTTGTTGTTCCTGAATGGCGGTTTCCTGTTGCTCCTGCAGGTGCTCTTGTTGGCGAGTTTCCTGCTGTTGCTCTTTTTGCTGTTGCTCCTGCTGGTGCTTCTCCTTTTGCTGCTGCTCCAGTAAAAACTTCTCTTTCTGCTGCTCCTCTTTTTGATGTTTCGCATGCTTCTTTTCCTGCTGCTGTTTTGCCTGCTCCTTTTCCTGTTGCAGCTTCTCCGCCTGCTTTCTCTCCCTCTGCCTTACCTGCTGCTGACTTTCCTCCTCCGCGTGCTGTATCTGCTTGAGCTGCCTCTCTTTCTCCTTCTGCTGCTTTTCCTGCTTGCTCCGCTGCCTAGAAGTATTCAGCCGCAGAGATTTTTGCGCGGCTCTGCTAGTGCTTGGCTGATCACTTGTCATAGTCTCCTCCAGCGTTGACGGCTGAGTTGTGGGAGCTTGCTCTATCAACTTTTCAATATGTGAATTAAACTCTGATGGAGGCATCAGTTGTTGCTCCTGCAGCTGCAACTCTTCCTCTACTTCTGTTACAGGCACATCATTGAAAGCCAATGGTGGTGTTGTTAGTACGGGCTCAAGCAGCTGCTGCTGTTTCCGCTGCCTGGACTTGGATCTGCGAAACTGTGCGGGTGGCGTGCAGACAGCCTGCAGCTCATCCTCCTCGCTCTGTTTAGAGGGAAGATTGGTTATAAAATAATTTGTAATCATTTTGCTTAAGCAATTACCGTTGAAGGTTCTCGATGCCTGGAGCGCAAGCGTCGCAATGGCTGTTGCTGTCTTGTCGGCTTTTGATGGTGCAGCGCCTGTATTAAGCTGTTCCTGAATTCGGCAGGCGGCGCCGCTGGCGAAATGGATGCCGCCTCAAATGTTTGCTAAAAGATAAAGAGTTATGAAGTTGGGAAAAAATGTAAGCCCAGTTGAAATACAAAATTCTTACCATAAGCGTTTTATGGCGACTAAGGCGCGAGCGTCTCTGATGCTGCCTAGAGCTTTCTTGATCGGATTCCAGCATGGTGCTGTCCCTAAAGCCTATAGGCGGTGCAGCCGGCGACAAAATAGAAGATGCAGCAGACAGAGATTCATTCTCGGATGCGGGTACAGTTGTTGTCGTTGAGTTTGTGCGTGGCGGGGGCCCAGCTGGCTCGTTCGGCTCTTCGAGATTACGTCGCAATATCTCCCATTCAATGTGCTGGTCCAAAACCAGCTGCTGCTCTGTGGGCTGCTCTCGATGACCGTTCACTGGATGCTGCCTGCCCAAGGAGTTGCGTTTGCGTAAATCCATAATCTCATAATTGCTCATGCGCGCCAGCTCGAAGGCAAACTGTTCGCCATTGATGGCCGGTTGGGAGGGTTTATTGAGCACCGTTTGGCGCTGCATATTTTTGCCACGCTGACGTGAGTTCCTGGTACGTGAACGATGCAAATCGAGCAGCTGCACAGAGCTCTCTACATGTTGCACACGCTTGCGTAAATTACGTTGCCGGGTGGAGCTGCCACCGGTGGACGCTAGATTTAAGGGCGCCCCACTTGCCTGCCGCTCGTCGGCGCTCTCGTCATCGGTCATGATGTCATCCTGCAAGGCAGGCGGACTGCGGGAGGTTTGCATGCTGCGACTGGCCATTGTTGAAACCGGCGCGTCCACTTGAGCGGCTGCATCCACATGCGCTGCAGCTGGCTTCGTGAGCATTGAGGCCATGGGCATAATCACAAAAGGCGCCACCAACGCATTGCTGGACATATTTTGCAGCATATTCTGCATCGGCTGAGACTGCGTTTCGGGCACAATGTACTCCAGTTCGGGCTGCGTGTGCGGCAACGTAATACGCGATGGCGTATCTTGCGCTAGTAATTCCAATCTAGCTGCTGACAATGTTGCCTGCTCTCTCGTACGCACGCGCGACTGTCTAAGCGAATTGTTATAAATAGAGTTATGGGAACTACTGTTACGCGAGGGCGACAACAGCAATTGACCCGGCTCAGGACCAAGTTCTACAGTGTAGGTGCGTCGCTTGACGGCGCTATTATCGGGCGTCGTGGAACGCTGCGATGCGAGCGCCATAGAGTGCTGCGAGTTGGAGGCGGCGTGCGATAGCAGCTCGTCATTTTGTTCCACGTGTGGCACAGCCTGCAATACTGCTGGAGCCACTGATGCTTCTCTTTGTGTTGGCTGTTCCGGCCCGGCTGCGGTTTGCTTTTCCGAAGCGGGCGTGCTGTTCACGGTGGGTAGCTGTTAAAGCACATTAATTAGCAGGCAAAAATTTGTGTTACTCTAAAGGCTTACAAAATCTGAGTCGTTGGACGAGGCATTGTTGAATTCCTTTAGCAAGTCGCGACGTCCACAGCTGCGTGAGCGTCGATGTATGGCCACGCGACGCAATCGATCCGAGCCAGGCACATGAACGCCGCTGCGTCGAGTGGTGGATCTGCGAGGAGAGGTAATTTGAGACGCTGGCGCTGGCGGCGTCGGGGGTGCTGCATTTTCTGGGTGGTTTGAAACAAGTGAAGCGTTTTCAAACGTTTTCGTTTCAGCTGCCGTAGGGGGTTGGTTGGTAATCTCGCGCAGGGGCTGCTCTTTGGCTGCTGCCGTTTCCTTACCAGCAGCCGGTTGCGGTTTTGACGGCAATTTAACCAAATCCACATCGAAATCAAATGTGATGTCAAGGTCGCCAAGGACGAAAGGTGTGTTGCTCTGCGGCTTTGGTGCAGTCTTTTGCTTAAGGAAAGCGGCTAAGCGATCCGCATAGGTTTCGCTCTCGTTCAATATCTCCTCCAGCTCGCGCATTGTATTATCGCTAATTTTAGGCCTGCAAGCACATAAACATTATATTTGTTTTCATTTTAAAGTAACTTTTCCAATTGCCCTCACATTTTGCAGGCCGTTTTTAAAATATTTGTTGCAGTTTGCTTTTTTTTTTTACTTTTCAAACATTTTGTTTCAGCGATTACAACAAAATGATGCGCGCAGCTCTAAAGTGCCGTTGTCCAACACTGAAAACAGCCAGAGGCATTCAATTTAATGATTTGATACAGTGGCAGCCTCGTCGCCTTCGTTTCAAATGAGCAGTAAATTGGGAATCTATATAAAATAGCATTAAAATTATTAAGGAACAGTTGGCTTAATATTCGCATACACACATATAATCGAGGCATTAAATAGATTTTTGTGTAAAATGTGTGTTGCAATGTGTTGCTGTCGACGATCTGGCAGCACTAGTCTGAAACTCACGCGTTCGCCGTGTGTAACAGTTAAACAACAGTTGAGTATTTCAAATCAATGTAGCATTGATAACAAAATATATGATTTTATTAATTGCTAACTTGTTTACAAAAAGACTATATACTAATCATTGCAATGTGTATTCTATTACTATTCTCTCTGATAATAGTAGAAGAAATGCTCAGTTCTATTTCTTTTTTTGTATAATCTTAAAAGTATTGCGTCTGTTAATGATATAGCTGAGCGCAGCTGCGACGGTTGTTACGCCTGTTAAATACCAAAGTCCATGCAACGCCGGATGATCTATGGAGTTAAATGTGAGAATAATACTTCTAAGAACATTATTTTGATATGGCCTACCAATATAATTCCATATGGGCGCACCCAGACTAATGCCAATTGTGGCCAACTGCACGCCAGTGTTCACCTTGCTGATAAATGTAGGTTCTAATTGGGCGGTCACATGGGTGGCATCAAAATAGCGTGAGAACGTTTTCTGCAAGAGAAATAGACATAATTGAGTTTTTAAAATTGGTAGTATATACTTGAAAGCGGTTTACGGGGGGTGGGAGACTTATGTAACGAATGACGAAACCAGCGGCAATTAGGAACACATCCCGGAACACAACAACACCGGCTAGCCACATGGGCAGCAACTCGCTGTAGCACAATGAAATGACCAAGGAACCCATAAGTAGCTTATCAGCCATGGGATCCAGAAAGGAGCCGGCTTTGCTTGCCTGTGAAGGCCAACGGCGCGCAATCTGACCATCAAGCTAGAGAGAGTACATATTAAATATAGTCTCATAGCAGCTAAAAACAAAAACCCACCAGATCTGTTATACCAGCGACGACAAGCAGGCTCATTCCCATCGTAAAGTCCCCTTGGACAATAACATAGCCAATATAGGGCGAGAGTATGGCACGACTTATGGTCAGCATATTCGGTATGGTCATGATGTTCTCCCGCTCCTCGCGTATCTCGACAATCTTCTCGCGCACTCGCTCCTGCACCTTGTGACGCGCCTCTCGTATATCATCGACCAGGAAGTTCTTGCGCTCTATAAACTCGGCGCGCTGCTTATCGATGACACCTTGAAGCAAATCCCGTCCTTGCAGTGTGCGCAAATGCAGCGACTGCTTCTTGGCGTCGGCATAGAGCCGCAGCCTAGCCACATCCCAATTGCGGCGCTGATTGATGTCCAGAAAGGAGATGCGTATAAAGCCGGTTGCAGCGGCATAGCGATTCAGGCAGTTGACAAAACTGCTGCCGCCTACACCAAGCACATGCTTCAGTGTTGTTGCGGCTCCATGGTGTAGACCACCGGCGCTGAGCGGACGATGCATTTGCCGGAAGACAATGGCGGGCAGCATTTCGTTGGCTCGGCTAACAATTCCTCAAATTTAGCGGAATTTAAATACTTATTTACGCACTACAAATACAAACAAATTCGAGTTAATTTTAGTAGTCGAGCGGCCTTGAACGGGTGCTCCCCCCTTGGACCAATAGGTAACAATATCATACCATTTGATGTCCGCGGGCTGCCTAAATAATTGGGGGCAGTACAAACACAGCTTGTGTGTACGAGCCTCGGGTCAAAAGTTACATGAATTAAAATTTTAAACAATAATTTAATGAATCGAATGTTGCTTTTTATTACACAAGACGGACGCGAGGGGTTGCCACGTAATTTGCAAGTGCTGCCAGCTGGTCTTAGTATGCTAAGGTGGCAGCACTACGCAGATACGGCGACTGACGCTTGGCGCGCACGTTTCAAATTGTGGAAACTGAAGTATGAACTTTTAATCATAATGGGCTTTATTTTGTTTATAAAGGCTATTTTTTAAGCAATTTTCTTTTAACAAAAAGCAGACATTAAGGCCAGGCAAAGCAAAAAAGACAGACATGCATATTTAAGGCTCTTTTTTTTCTTATTAATAAGCCCATTCAGCCGCAGAGGACAAGACGACCAGCCGCAACTGAACTGTACTTGTCAGTCATTAAATTGGATTAAATTTAATTATGCGTTCACTTGCCAAAAAAGGCCACTGACAAGCGCCTTGGATATGCAAATGAATTCGCGGTAAACGTTTATTACTTTATATAAACATCAGCAGCTGCTCGACCATGGCCATGGCCTTATCCTTAGCTTTATCAACGCAGCCGCAGCTAATGAATTAAGTGAAAGTAGCGCAAAGAATCTTCGTAGCCATTAACGAGTGCCAATAAGGTTGAGACTGAACAAACAGCTGCTCATTTATTTAAATGCTATCAGGCGTCGTTTTTAACCCTCAATGCATTTGGTGACAAATGCATTCACACACATAAACACACACACGCTTGTAAATATGCGTTTTTGAGTGTATTACAGAAAAGCAAATACAGCACATAAAAAATTAAAAATGCAGCTGCACGCTTGTACATATGCTCAATTAAAAATCAGAGCGCATCGCTGAAATGGCATCCATTAAATATTAACACAATATGGCATCGCCCGTGGCGTTGCTTCCGCTGACGACACGCCTCGGGATGCCTCTTAACTTAATAATTACGACAAGGACAAGGCGACAAGAGTAGCATGCCAAAGAAATTGCACGCCTTGAGGCCTTGCCAGATAGTTAAGTAGCGCTGTCGCTGTCTCTTTTTGACGCTCTCACCAACAGCATTACAAATAAAGTGCAACAGCAACAAGAGGAACAGCAACAACAACCACAACAACAATTTCATGGCATTGGAGCTATTATTTTGCATGGACAAAAGCATATTAATTTTTGACATCCTGTGATTCCTGCCACTGAGTAGCTGCATGCAATCAGCTATTACCAGCTGAAGGTGTGAGCGAAAGAGGGCGTGCAACAGATAGAGCAGCCGTAGCATACGAAATTTTCAATTAAGTTGGCAGCGTTGGTTTAAAAATTCTTAAAGTGTGGGTTTAAGTAAAATCATAACAATTGGAATAGTTATTAATACTATTGTTTGTCATTTTAAAACTGATATATATATTTGCTTTACATAATTTAGTTCTCTATATACTTAATTTTACACCTAATTTCTAAAATACTCTATTTATAATTGTTATGGGTTTAAAATGAGTTCTCAAAGATATATTTTTGTTGCAAGTAATATATGCTATATTGCAAGTATATAGTATCATAGCATTATGCAATATAAGAAGTAGGTACAGCTTCTATAATCTTATATTTATATCGAGTCGGATTTGAATGTTTTTAAGCTTTAAGTATAATATATGTATATATCATTTACTGATCCTTTTAACATTTATCTAAGTGCATTACTCTGCCGGCATTGAAAACTTAGCTTTTGCCGCTTATTAACTTTATTATACATTTTTTGTCCCCCTTATTGCGTTTCATTAATCAAAAGTAATTTGCCGGCTCTTCAGATGGAAAACGGCAGCCACCTGCCAGCCAAGATGGCGAAAATGTCAGCGGCAGTAATAATGGCTGCCATTTTGCATGCCGAACGGAAATACGCTATGCGTGTGTGTGTGTGTGTGTGTGTGTGTGTGTGTGTGTGTGTGTGTGTGTGTGTGTGTGTGTGTGTGTGTATGTGTGTGTGTGTGTGTGTGTATGTGTGTGTGTGTGTGTGTGTGTGTGTGTGTGTGTGTGTGTGTGTGTGTGTGTGTGTGTGTGTGTGTGTGTGTGTGTGTGTGTGTGTGTGTGTGTGTGTGTGCGTGTGTGTGTGCATGTGCGAGTGCTGCTAATTAACTGTTTTACATTAAGTGGCCATAAAGGCAGAGACTGCTGACGCATTTTAGTCTATTTTAATGTGGCCACACAAATGGCAGGCGTGATCGACTTGGACAATGGGCAGGAGCAGCATTAAACATCGCCCATGGCTTATTGCCCATTGGCCATTAGCCTGGTTGTCTTTCCTTGTGTCTTAAATGATTTACGTACGTTTTAAAGACCGACCATAAAAGACAACGCTCTTTCTCTCTCTCCCACACTTTTGTATTTAATTTAATTAAATACTTTACTTGGTTTTTGGCTCTGCTGAAATGGTTAATGTGGTCTCCGCTCTGCATAAATTGTGGCCAAGTTATTTGCTGTAAATTATTTGCGGTCATTTCAGGCTGCTGGGTCAAACGTAAACAGCAAAAATTGGCCAAGTGGATCGAGAACTATTGGGCCTTCGGATTAATGTGGCCAAAAGTAAATCAAAATCTGGAGCAAATGCAGCTGGCTAAGGCTTTGTATGGAATGTGGTCAGCAACTTTTCGGCCAACTATTTTCAGCAGGTGTTTTACGGCGCACGCCCACAAATCACAAACCAATGACGGCTAATTAGAGTGAAAAATAACAGCAGCACCACAAAAGTGTAACAATGACTTTTCCCACGAAGAATTCTCAACTATTTCAGGCTGCCATCCACTGCTCCTCGTGCTCCCCCTACGAGCCGGGTATCCTGCCCGTTTTTGTTCTAACTTATAAGCGCAAGTGGCGGCAAACTTTTGGACCATGCTGGTGTAGAGAGTACAGCTCCTCCTCTCCCTCTTGCCCCACACACACCACTCCGGCCATTTGGGGGTACAATTTAAAAGAAGATTAAACCACAGCTGCCTTGGTCGCCATGTGCGCTTCTGTGGCGCCTCCAATGGCAACATCAAACAAGACGCCATAGCCCCAAAAACTTTCCAGCCACCCCAGGGACACGTAGCACCCACTAAAGCTGGCGGGACGCTGGCGATTTCTCTGGCGACACTTGTCGAAAGTTGCGCGTAATTACGACTATGTGTAAGTGTAACTGTAAGTAAGAGAGAGAGAGAGAGAGAGAGAAAGAGAAA